GGCAGAACTGCTTGGTTGTCTTTTTTCCATGTAACTTAAGCATAGTGATATAAATGAAGTGACAGTAGGGAAAAAATAAAATTCCTTCTCTGAACTATAAGCAATTTAAAAATTGCAAATAAACACAGGCCAATATTATCTTATCCTAAGACTACTTAGATGGCTCCTGACCACCCCCACTGGTTTGCAACTGTTAAACCTGATCCTTCAGTGCTCTCTGTGTAAAAGAGTGTTACCAGCAACCAGTTCTAAGACCAGTTTCTGTTACTGTCATCAGAATATTACAATAAATGACATTTCACCCTGTGTCCCAAAACTTTGGCAGGTCCAAAGCAAATGCTTCTACTTCAATCCACAGGAACACACTCATGGCCACTATGTAAAATAGCTCTTACATAATAGTAGGTTCTATAATTTCATAACCTGTAAAACCCTCAATTTGGAAATTTTTCCTATAGGGCAGTGGTTCTCAATCTTCCTAATGCCGTGGCCCTTTCATACGGTTCCTATGGGTTGTGACTCACAGGTTGACAAGTGCAGCTATAGGGTCTTCCAAGAATACAACTGTGTAATTTATAACAAAGGCAGACTCATTTTCCTAACCTGGAGTAGAAATTTTTTGAAATCATGGCCTTCCAGATGTTAAGATTTCTTGACTGTCCTACTTTGAATTCTTTGAGTCTCCTCACCAATTGCCCCTGCAATGCCTTCTCAGATGAGAAAACAGCTTGGTGAGTTGTTTTTAATTTCTCATACTGAGGCCTCAATACTATTTTAAGGCATATATATCTGCTAGTCATACACCTAAGTACAGAGTGTACCAAAAGTTCGTGTGCAATTTAATATAGTTTTACATTATAAATTACACACAAAACTTATGGACACCCTGTATATATATATTTGTTATATATAGTCATCTGAATGTGTAAATATATACACATACACATATCATTTAATACTATTTCATATATATCCCCTACTATGATTTTGTTAAATAATAGCTACATATTACACAATATAAATGATCTGCTTTTCTCAAATATATATGTTGATTCCAAGGTTTGATTTGGTTTCTAACCAAGGAAATTCATCTGGTTTCTAAACAAGGAAATTCATTTCATAGTCATATTATCATTATGTCCATCTCTGACTACTGCCTTAAGTAGGTTCTTAGATGTGGTCTTGATGAGTCAAAGGGTATGAACACTTTTAAGAATCTTGAAATGTTATCCCCAAATTGTCCTTCCAGAGAGGTTATACCAATTAATACTAACAAAGTATAACTATATCCATTTTATCCGATCCTTGACACTAACAGACATAATCAGACTTTTCCCCTCTAATTTGAAAACACATCCATCATTACCAGGAAACTAATATTGTAGTATCTATAACTTTAGCATATTTTTTTCGTTTGTTTGTTGAGACAGAGTCTCACTATGTCACCCTCAGTAGAGTGCTATGACATCACAGCTCACAGCAACCTCCAACTCTTGGGCTTAAGCAATTCTTGCCTCAGTCTCCCAAGTAGCTGGGATTACAGGCACCCGCTACAATGCCTAGCTATAGCATATGTTTTTTAATTTCTTTTTTTTTCCTTTGAGACACAATCTCACTCTGTTACCCTGCATAGACTGCCATGGCATCATAGCTTACACCAACCTCAAACTCTTGGACTTAAGCAATTCTCTTGCCTCAGCCTCCCAAGTAGCTGGGACTATAGGTACCCACCCCCACACCCAGCTAATTTTTCTATTTTTTAGTAAAGACAGGGTCTCACTCTTGGTCAGGCTGGTCTTGAACTCCTAAGCTCAAGCAA